GTGACTTTAGAGTGAAGAAGAAAATGACTGCCAGATTGAAAGAGAAATCCTTTGATTTTTTGGCCAGACTCTGATCAGCAGAGAAATAAGATAATAATGCCTGTTGAGTAAGCACCCCCGAGGAGCCTTCCCTCATCTATAGCTGTGGGAAACAAGGAGTAGCCATGTGGAGAGGGCCAGGCTGCTGGAGGCTTTGCAAGGCCCGTCTCCAGGAAATGAGGTCACTGCCTCTGAATAGGTGTTAGCTAAAAGGGACCTGCATCACCACCTGTTGACCCCTTCGCTTCATAAACAGCACTGGTCCAGCATTATCACATTGATCTGGAGGGTAGCATAGGCGTCAGTATTTCCATTTTAGATGAGAAAATGACCTCAGACAAGGTTCAGTGACTCACCCAAGGTCACACACAGCTAGTCTGTTGGGGGAGAAGGTGCCTGAACTAGAGTTGTAGCCCCTGAGTTTGGTAACTGGCCATTGCTAATCTTACAAACTAGAACCTGAAGCTCATCAAGATGAGGTAACTTCCCAGGATCACCTAGGCAATGAGCACCAGGGTCAAGACTTGAGAGCAGGCCTCCGATTATTGAGCAAAGCTAAGGTGCGCAGTCATTGTCCACCGCATGGACACATGTCTCCTAGGGCAGCATCCTATTTCCTGCTTTCCTGTCCCTTAAATGTCTCAGAGATTTGCCTACTTGCCTTTTCTACTCCTACTACCTGTTTTCCCACTTGAAGTCTGATGAGGAAAATGCCACAGAACCTTGACACACACACAGTCCCTTTCTCTTCTTACTCTGAGAATCAGGAAACCCTTTCAGTTTTGTTTTCAAATTTAATAACTATGGAGAAAAATAAGGCAAGTTAATGAGATACCAAAGCTTCCAGTTAATAGAAAATTTTAAAATAATGGTAATCATTTTCCTAGGATAATTACCCCAAGGGCTTAGCATAGGGCCTGACCTTCTAGATGCTCAGTCAGTGGTAGATATCCTCCTCCTTATTCTAACTACTCTTGGCCATTCAGCAATTAGAAGCATAACCAGTCTTCAGACTCCTTGCACAGTGCTCTATTAGAGTTGCTTTCCTAGGTTGTGACGCTTGAACTAGGCAGGGGTAAGAGAGAGGTTGTGAACTCGGAGGAGGGGTCTATGAGATTAACAAATGAGGCAATGACAGTTCATCAGCTACTCAGGACAGGGCATCTAGGGAGGGTTCCTGTATTGGGTGCTGGGGAATGCACGACTCAAGTGAATTGTATATATTGCTTGGCTCCTCGACAGGACTGAAAAAGCTAAAGGATTTATTTAGCTGGAGAGGAAAGGATTGATGAGATTGAGACAGAAACTATCCCTTGAGCTGTCTGCTCTGCCAGGGTGCAAACCTTTTTCCCTTTGGGTGCAGAGTGAAAGGAGGACATGTTAAGAAAGGAAGATCTGGGGAGTCTGGAAGGGATTGGAGCCTGGAGGAAAGGAAAGGCGCCTTCCTTAGCTCTGGCCTGCTTCTAGAATATACCTCATTGTATACTGGCCAAGAAGTTGCCCCACTTCCCCCAACCATGCCCTCCTCCTTGCTCCGATGTGCATTGCCCCCACACCCTTGAATTTATTCCCATCTCTGTCCCTGATGGCTGCAAAGCCCAGTGATTCCACGTTTCCCTCTGCTCCTCCCCTGCAAGGCTTTTCCAAGCCTCCCCTCCCCAGAGTGACGCCCTGCCCTCCCCCAGGCTGGCCATGTGGAGTCTGTCTTTTTCCTCCCATCTCTTTACACTTGTGTATTTGGTCTTTGACGCAGGGGCTGACCCCACATGTTATATTACCGTGTGCGGAGAACATTCTGCGGGCGAATGACTTACAGCACATGCTTTGTCTTCTGTTCTTTCTATTAGGGGCATGATTTAGAAGATGAATGTTTATAACATGACCCAAGGAATTTCATCCTCCTCTGGAAAACTGTGTAGGAGAGAATCCTAATGGAGAAAGAGTAATGTCTTCTGGGCTCCTGCCAAACGTTTGGACTTGCTATAAAAAGCCTCTGCGCTCACCTTTTATTGTTTATTGTAAACTCGCTACTTCACCATAGTTGCTGGCTCTTTCTGAAGGAAGAGGTCACAAATAAGTAAGCATCTCCCTGGTTTTCACAGAGAAACAAATTGCAATTGCAGCGATGATGTATTAATTCTGTATTAAGTGCCTTTTTGACCAGGCACCTTAAAAGGCTGTGCATTTCTCCTCTCCTGCATCGCACTGGGGTTGGGGGGCAAATCTGAAAGACTAATCACATTGAAGTGCTGGGGATATGGAAGAGCAGGTCCTTGATAGTGGAAAACAACTCGGGAGTGTCTCCCTCCTGCAGGTCCTTGGGGAGGCGGGCTGGCATGCTGGAAAGGCACAGGATTTGTCGTTAATCCTGGTTCAATCGCTTGGGAAAGTGACGTACCCAGGCTGAACGCCTCATTGGCAAATGAGGGTAATAACAAGTACTCCTCAGGGCTATTGCAAGGATTAGATAAAATAAAGTATCGGGGGGCGCCTGGGTGGCTCAGTTGGTTAAGCAACTGCCTTCGGCTCAGGTCATGATCCCGGAGTCCTGGGATCGAGTCCCGCATCAGGCTCCCTGCTCAGCAGGGGGTCTGCTTCTCCCTCTGACCCTCTTCCCTCTCGTGCCCTCTGTCTCTCATTCTCTCTCTCAAATAAATAAATAAAATCTTTAAAAAAAAATAAATAAAGTATCGGTAAAGAGAATAATAATAATAAAAATACTTCCTGCTTTGTTTCCCTTTGACAGATTTCTTGCCTCATTATGACTCTGGGGAAGGAAGAGAGTGGATGCCGCTTCAGGAAGGAGAAGGGCATATTATGGGAGAATCCCTGTCAGAGAGGAAGGGGAATTGAAACTCTCGAAAGGAGCCTAAGAAATAAAATAATTTGAAGGCAATCCTAGTGAAAAGAGGTTTCCCAAGACTAAGGAAATGCTAAAGCTCTTTAAAGAATTCCTGTAACAAACACGACATCTCTCAAGTGATGGATTGGAAAAGGTAAAGTGCTAGCGTAATGATCTGGGGTAAGGCATAGATTTTCTCCAGAAATGAGGCTAACATGTGTGAACTCCAAGATTTCCTAGGGCTTTGAGAAGATTGTATGTGCCCTACGTGAAGCTGTCCCATTGGGAAAAAGAACCCCACACAATGGCTATGGAGTAGACTCAGTCTAGGTGTGGGGGAGAGAGAAGGTCATGCCTCTGTAGTGCCAGGAAGCTATGTAGTAGACATGTAGCTAGTTGTTCAAAAACAAGTGAACATGCTACATGATAGAGCCAGCAGTTAGATGCCCAACACCCAAAACCAGACCAATTGAGGGGCCCCGAGCTGGAGCCAGTAATCAACAGACCATGAGTTTCATCAGCCATGAACTTTAGTCACAGACATCACACAAGCACCCAGGGAACAGCCCTGGCCAACCACACTGGGTCAGAGACCCAGCTGGTACACCGTCTTCCTCATCACCTTGAGGACATTGGGCATCCCTCTTCAGCCAGATGCCATTTTGGTTGAGGGAGGCAGGAAACCTCGGTGGTAAAACATTTTCCCAAAGATGGGCATGCACCTTGAAGAATCTCTTTAAGATTTAAGACACTGTTTTGAACCCAAAGATTCCTGAAAATGGAAAATTTTCTGTCCCCTGTTGGTCCCTCCCACCCCTGGGCCCAGTAGGATGGGGACTCATGCAGATTTGTCGCAGAGATTAGTTACAGAGAAATAAACAGGCCTAATAGACTTCTACACTATATATTTAAACCTTTCTCTGAATTTAATAGCATCACAGGAGACACTCAATGCATGTAAGTTAAATATAACGAGAGTATCAAATTGGGTGGAATCCCACAAACTGAAAAGATACATGTCTTAACTAAAGTTACTTTCAAAGAAGCTCATCATTCCTGGTGCTAAATGCACCTAATACACATTAGGGAGAAAGTTTGTACATTTTTGTTGGTCAAAAGATGATTTAATTTACTGTAACACGGAAAGAAAAGAAAAATGGAAATATTTCCTAACATTATTTTATTTTATTTTATTATTTTTCTGAGGGGGTGGTGAGGGGCAGACTAAGAGAATCTTAAGTGGGCTCTGTACTGGGTGTGGATGCAGGGCTTTATCTTATGATCAAGAGTCAGATGCTTGACCAACTGAGCCACCCAGAAGCCCCTCGGTTAGTTTAGTTTTTATATTGAACATAGTTCAGATTTTTTTCTCTTGCTCCATAAGTGTGAAGGGGGTGAAGACATCATAGTAATGTCCCCTTTCCAGTGCAATGAGATTTTCACCATGTGGTATTCCTCACCTCTCTCCTTCCTAGCGCTCGAGATTTGGGATCATCCACCTCAGCCAAACGCCTGTAATTTTTGCTACTGTCTCTTTCCACATTCATTCTAGACTTCTTCCTATTATTGTTCTTCCTATTGTTTTGTCATCCCTCTTCACTTAATTAGTCCAAGTGTCTTCTGTGAAAGATAGTATTATCTCCCTCTTGCAGATAAGGAAACAATGAAACAACAGACTTAAGATATTCCTAAATATTTATGGTACATAAAATGATGAGAAGTTTGGTATGATCCCCCAAATCTTGTGAAAATCTGATTCTTAAAGGAGGCCTGACAGCCAAAACTATAATCTGGGAGGCGAAGGTAGATGTCAGCGTGCCCTACCCTGGCTTCTCCTGTCTTGGAGCTCTAGGAATCAGGCTGAGGTATGGTGGAGACAGGAAATATGTCTGCCCAACCTGCACTTTCTCCTTCAGAAATTTCCCCAAAGAAGATCACCAATGAAGGCCAGTCACTGACCCATTTTTAGATATCAGGATTTCATCTCTGAGAAAGAAAACCACAGAAGGGGTCTTTTTCAAGAAGCAGAAGAGCTATACCCCCCTTCCCATCATCACAACAGAAGGTGAGGATTGAAGTTCTCAAGGAACTTCCCCAAAGCCTGAAGCAAATCACAAACCTGCAACGCTGCTTAGAAGGTGTCCTTCAAATCCCCAGCGTTCCTCCAGATCTGAGCTCCATCTCCAGCTATGTCCAAGGCTTGACAGGGATTGTGGTGGTGATGGTGCGGTTACTCTTCCTTCAGACCAAGGTTGTTGAGAGTTTTAAACATATTAGTGCCAAATTCAGCAATTAAAAATCTAATATTAGCTCATCTTCAATCCACTTCACCCAGAAATCCATTTCATAAGAGGAAACATGGAAGTGATTGTACTCCCTACCACTCTGAAGTGAGCAGAGAATGGCTTAATGGTGTTTAAACTTTTTTTTCCCCCAAAGGAAATATTACAGGGAAGTTCAATACATACAACAGCAAACAGCCAACAACTCTGGGTGAAATAAAGGGCTGACAGGAGCCCCACCCTCTGTTCTCACTCTTTCTGCCCTTCCCATATCCCTGGGACATCCCTTCTGAACCCCATGGGCTCCACAGAGCCTAATTTGGAAATCACTCCATATATAAAGAATGTGAGCGAGAAAACCACACGTGAAGACTTATTACTAAGGGTTCCCATAAGCGTCATGGTTTTATTTTGGGGAATTGTGGTTCATTAACCAAATAGGAACTTACTGCCATTTTTGCAAGGGTACTTTATCCCAGGAAAGCCACATACACAGAATAGATGTATTGCATTGCCACGGTGGCCATTTTAAATTTTAGTAAATACTGCCCCTTTGATTTGGTTCTGCTTAAATATGCAAATAAGGCACATTTTCATTGACCCAGAAACTGTGGTAGACTTAACAGGAGTCATTAAAATGTTCAAACACAGATGTATCTCAGGCAACTCCCAACACAGACAGTTTGAAAAAGAAGCTCATCATTCCTGGTGCTGCGAAGTATAATAACAATAAAAAGAACCTAACAATTCAAGATAAATGAAGAGCTATTGTAGGACAACATGTGATTAAAAGCCAAAGCCATTGTCCAGGAAATAACCGCTATACGTACTCAGTGCTAAAACTACCTTGGATCACAGTGGCATCCTGAATACAGTATCCAGAAAAACAAAAAGGTCAACTTCCACTCTATTTGGCTCTGGTCACGTCTCATCTGGAATGTTGACTTAGTTCTGGGTATCTCGCTTTCAGAGGAGCGTGGTCCAAGGGTAATGAATGGACTCTGAGGTGAATTCTTGTTCACTGAGGAAGCGTTGATAGAATTGTAGCTGCTTGCCTGAGAAGGTAGGGCATCAGCGTGATCTTTTACTTCGCTAGGGGTTTTTGTGGAAAAGAATATGGCCAATCTCTCTCCAACCTTTCTTCCCTTCCATCCTTGCTAGTCACCTCTCCTTAGAGGGCTAGCACCAGGGGGTGCCATTTACACAGATTACAACGTCAGGGGAGTCCCTCAGAGCCATGCCATGTGGTGGCTGGGTCACGGCCATCACAAAAAGGATGCGAGTTTTTAATACGTGGCTCCAGAAAGGTAGCTGAAAATGCCAAGACCAGAAGACAAGGGGAGTGAGACTTTGGTTTAGGATGAAGACATTCTAACAGCGGGAGAAGACAGAATGGCAGCTCTGGATGGAAGTATTTGGAAAGGGGTCTTGCAGAGGGGAGCCCTTGCTTCTAAGCTTGATAGTAATGGCAGCAATCGGTGAACTGCGCTTTGATGATGTGACTGGCCTTGTGGCATGTGACTTTTTCACAAGTGTTCTCCTTCTTACTCATCACTACAATACTCCCAGGCAGGAACTACAATGATCTTTCTTTTATAATGGAAGAAATGAAGCTTGGACAAATAGCTTTACTTTTCTAAGGTCGTAGAGAGAACCGGGAACGGAATTGGCATTTGAGCTCAGGTCTCTGACCCAGACTGTAAACTCTTAGCCATTATCCACACTGACTCTCAACAACCAGTTAACAAAATCGCTTCTTTCTTCGTGCGTTCGTCTGCTTGATGGCAGCTACACTTGATCTACAAATCAAAGTGGATCTGGACATCGTACATCCAAGAGTAAAAGCGTTTCTGTGGAACAGAGGTAGGTGAGGCGGGTCTGCCCTGCTCTCACGAGTCGCCGGCATCTGCGTCTTGGACCCGGGGGCGAGGCGCACACCTGGGCTCCAGATGGGGAGAGCCGTCCCGCACACGGCGCGCTGCCAGATCCAGTCCCCGCACTTCAGGGACCCCGCGCAGGAGAGATGCGCAAGGCTCCCCCTGCATATTTTTATGTTGTCATTTCCCAAATGCCCTCTCCAAAAATAACACCTCAAGGAGGCAAGATGTGGCCTCAGAGGATATTTCAGCGCCCCTGGGGAGAGCTGCAGGGAGCGGAGGCCATCAGAGCACCCTCGCTGGCCGCTGTCATTTTGGAAACGCGGAGCGCAAAGGGAGAGCCCGAGCCCTTCACTCCGTGTGCAGCGACCACCGCCGCCCTCCCGTCGCTGGAGCTGCCTGGAAGAGCGCCGGGAGGCCTCCCCGAGGCTCTGTTAGTGCGAACACAGATGCTCCTTCCGCACGCACAGCTTAGGTGGCCACTTCCAGGGGGTGGAAAAGGAGAATCGAAACCTTCCTGTTCTTGCCAAAATAACCATGTGTAGGTCTTTGTTCTGCAAGTCTCGGGAACACACAGATTTCCAAGCAGTGGGAACCTCCTGTCCTGTTCGGTCTTTGGACAAACTCTTGTTCTGCCCATTTCACCCCAGTTTCCTGAAACCCTGGCTGTAGGGCTCCAGTAGCTGGAGCCCGTGAGAGGTTCCTTTGTAAGGAGAGTGTTCACAGCCAAAGCCATCAAGGCAGGCAGTGAGGGACATTGGGCTCTAAGCCAATGACAGCCGTGCCAGGTATTGCCTTGGCTTTCTTGGGCTGAGGGGTCAGCCCCTGAAGGTCTGCTCGCTTCATCTGGCTCCTTTGCAGGAAGGAAGGGGGTAGAACCACTGTCTGTGGGCTGCAGTGAGCACTGCCTGGCTGGGGGAAGGATGGCAGAGGACCAACCTGTTGCTGATCCAAATGTTTAGGGTTTCTTTTGCCCCTTAAGCTGATGGAAGAGAGAAGCTGCAGAGCAAGAAGACTAATCCCCCCTAGCAAGTAATCCAAACACAGAAGCCAGAAATCCCTGTTCCAACCTTTCCTCCATTTTCCCTCTTCGTGAATTTAGGGCATTTGCCAAAGAGAGAAAAAAAATGGAATGAGATGGATTTAGAGAAGAGAGAGCCACCAGTTAGAGAGTTGTGTAGAGAGGCAATGTGATAAAGTAAAAAGAAAAACAGGCTTGGATCAAGAAAACTCAGATTTGGCTCTCGTCTCTGAGCCTGGGGGGCCCTAAGCAAGTTGCCTTTCAGCTCCCAGACCTGGGTCTCTAAGGTCCCTTTCAGCTGTAAGACTAAGACCTAAGAGTTCTTGGTTATATAAAGAGAATTCTTCCAAGACCATAATTATTCCGCTAATCAAGAACTATTTACTAAGTAATTAGTGTGTGATTTTCTGGAGATAAGAGCAAGACATGGTCCTTATAGGCTAGAAAACTGTGACACAGACCAACAATTAAGCATGTGAGAGTCTAAAAATTCTACTAGTTCATAATATGAGTTAATAACATTAATACAGTACCCCCCCCCCCCCCCAGCTTATCCACGGTTTTGCTTTCTGTAGTTCCAGCTACCCATGGCCAACCATGTGGTCTGGAAGCAGATGGGTCCTCCTTTCCATGTACGGTCTGTAGGTCAGCAGTAGCCTAACGTGACATCACAATGCCTACACCATCCACCTCGCTTCATCTCATCACGTAGGCACTTTATCATCTCACATCCTCACAAGAAGGGGAAGAGTAAATACAGTAGAGTAAGATATTTGAGAGAGAGAGATCATATTCACGTAACTTTTATTAAGTATATTGTAAAAATTGTTCTATTTCATTATTGTTGCTAATCTCTTACTATGTCTAATTTATAAATTAAACTTTATCATAGGTATGCATGTAGAGGAAAACAGAATATGTAATATTTGGTACTATCTGTGGTTTCAGGCATCCACTGGGGATCTGGGAACATCTGCCCACAGATAAGGGGAGACTACTGTATTAAGAATTTAATAAGCCATGGGCATCCCTCGGTGGAGAGGCTTATATTTTCTGAGACTGCCCATGTATGTGGCAATGCTTCCTAACCCCAGGGCACACATCCTAGCTGTTCTAATTAACCAAGATGATATTTTGACCATCTTTTGCCTTATTTCTTGCCTATCTCTCAAATAGTTCAGAACTTGGGTGGGGGGAAAGAGGTATATATTAATTTCTTAAATAAATCCCACCATGTCTCTTTAGGAGCGCCTGGGTGGCTCAGTCAGTTAAGCATCTGCCTTTGGCTCAGGTCGTGATCTCAGGGTCCTGGAATCGAGCCCTGCATCAGGCTCCCTGCTCAGTGGAGAACTTGCTTCTCCTTCTCCTTCTGCTTCTCCCCCCACTTGTGTTCTCTCTCTTGCTTGCTCACTTGCTCTCACTCTCGCTCTATCCCAAATAAATAAATAAATAAAATCTTTAAAAAAATCCCATCAGTTCTCTTTAAAAATGGCATTTTCCCCTACTGGGACTGTATAAAGCAAAAGAAACAAGAAAACACTACCAATTCACTCCCTACCCATATTATCCCAATGTTCTACTACTACCCTCATTATAATGCATTCACTTTTTATTGAAACAGTAATTACCAGACCATTTGTAATCCATATGTTTCTACAGGACTGGTAACCAGAACTTGAGGATTAATGGCGAGAGCTATAAAGAAGCTTTTGGACATTTCCCCCGAGAGCCTCCATGAATAGCACCAAGATGAGTAGTAATGGCAAGCTTCCGTGCTTCCCGCTGTCGTGTCCGGTTATGATGCCTTCTTTCCTAACTAGAGGCCAGGAGAAAAGGCTTTTCAGATCTTCCAGAGCATGTATGACATGAAGAGCTCATTCTAGTAAAGGGAACCAGACCCCTGTCATCTGACACTAATGAGGTGCCCTTCCCTTGGCTTAAAGGGATCTGGAGGAGGACGAGCAGATAACCTCCAGCCTAAATAAGTAAAATCATCACCGCTCTGGAATCTCTCTGAAGCATGCCCAGTTACAATGAGGAATTCCACAGGGCACGTGTC